ATAGATCACATCTATGACATTGTCCGGCTCCTCAGTCAGGGCAGGGGTGTGTCTCTCTTCCGGCCTGGGCTCTATGTATTCTTTTAAGTATTCGTCTCAGACCAATCTTTCTAAGATAGATTTGTATACCCTGCAGCTTTCGGTGCGATGGCCAAAATTCCGGTGATAGGAACACCTAACCTTTTGATCACAGGTGGAGGGATCGCTCTGTATCCTGGGCGGCCACTTGAAGAATGACTCATGCTTGATCTAATGGAGCAACTTGAAGATGGATTCCTTGAATATAGTGTGAACTCCTTTGAATGACCCCCCCGATGGGGTAGCAGTCCCTTTCGGGAAGTGTCCTCCCGCTCCCTCTCTTTTCTCTTAAGTTGGAGGGTTTTGCCTTTGCTGTTTTCCATCTCGTCCTCGATCCTAGAGTACTTGTTTATCCGGGCCATCAGCTCGCCCATATTCGAGGGAGTCTTTTTGGTCAGGGATCGGTATAGGTCCGTGTCCCTTGCCAAGCCGAGCCTGAAAGACGCCGCTGCCATGACTTCTGAGTAGCCCTCTATCTCATTAACCTCTTCCCAGTACCGGATGACGTACTGGCGAAGGGTCTCAGATTCCCTCCGTCTGAGCGTTAGCAATGATCCAACGTCTTTAGGCCGCTTACTCCCTGTAATGAATTGAGCCATGAACTGCCTTGTCAATTCCTTCCACGATCCAATGCTGTTGGGGGGAAACGCCTCGAACCACTTCATCGCAGAGTCCCTTAAGCTCATAGGAAACACTTGACAGAGGAACCGTTGGTATGAATGATACAGTGACATCATTTGCTTGTATTGCCTGAGGTGGGCTTCGGGATCGGACCGCCTGTCATAAATTTTGAACCTCGGCACGACGAACTTTTTTGGAATCTCCATCTCTCCGATATCCTTGGTAAAGGGTGTTTGTATGACCTCGTCTTCGACCTCATCCTGGACAGCCTTACTCTTTCTCCTGGATTTCAATCGGGCTCTGAGATCAATTTCCTCCCCAACGGGATGTCTTCTGAAGTCTCCGAGTTCATCAATAGGTCCCCCATTTCCTGGGCGTCTTGTGGATAGGGTTGAATCCTCTTCGGACTCATCTCCCTTCATTCGCCTTGACAATCCTCGTCGGAGATCGTCTAGGCCTAAAGGCCTTACCTTCTTGGAATGGTCGTTAAGAGGGTGCTCGTTGGCTCTTGGTCGCTTTGGGGCCCTGGAGCTTTCTGCCTTGTTATTTAAATGATTCCTTAGATCCTTCGTTTTTGCCTCTCCGGCGGGGAGTCCACGAGAAAGGAATGAGTCCCTCGACCCTTCGCTAGAGGAGGCGAATTCGTTGAGCCGGCTTAGGACGTTCACATTGTCCTTTTCCAACTGTCGTAATCGATCCCCAAACTTTTCTTCGATTACCTCCGCCAATTGACGAGCCAAGGAGGCGGATCCGCCTGACTTGATGCCCATACTGGTTTGAAGGGTAACCCCTCTTAACTGAATAGAGACATTTTTATTCCCATTAATGTGGTCCCTCCCTCCATGGTGACATGGAACTTGTAATTCGAGACTTATTTGTTGGGGACATNGGGCGGATCCTCCTGACCTGATGCCCATACTGGTTTGAGGAGTAAGCCCTCTTTGACTGAATAGAGGCATTTCTATTCCCATCAGTGTGATCCTTCCCTCCATGGTGACATGAAGCTTGTAATTCAAGACTTCTTTGTTGGGGACCTTTCCTTTTTTGTCGAGTATTCACCATGGTCACTGTTCTTTATAGAGAAGAAACTAGAAAAATTAGTCGTTTCCCACAGACGGCGCCAGATTATGCGTGCTAGATCTTGCACAATATAAATACGAGAACAGATCTCTCCCTTAGTGAACTCGAGTGAGTCAGTCGAATGGTCAACCCTACTGCTTAGAACAACCTGTGAGGTCCGGTGGTAGCCTGGAACGATAATGGGAGATCCTCGTGGATCAACGGAACGATCCAGTAAGGCTGAGGAAGGTTCCTGGAACAAAGAAAGATAAGATAGAAGGGCGCTGAAGTGTTTTTCGGCATATCTCCTCTGACGATCAAGTCAATTTTTGAGAGAGAGGAAGAAGAAAACACTGAGTATAAGTTTGAGAAAAGGTTTCACGTTGTTCACCCTATCTTGCCTTTTGTGAGGAGTATTTATACCTCAAAAACTTATGATTGTTGTCAGTGTGGTCAATAGGTAATCATTAGATACGGGCAACGTGCGCACTGATTCCTATGAAGAATGTCTTCTCTTTTAACTGCTCGGGATCCCGAGCAACCAAGGCTGTGTCATCGGCCTGCCGACTGTTTAATGAGCTCCTCTCGGCAAGTATGTAATAAATGTTCAGCCTTAGGGACATTTATTACCTTTCACTTCCGAGCCTTACCGCATTAAATGTTGTCTCATCAAGGGAATGGTATAATTAAATGCTTGCTTTCCCAAGTCACGTGTCAGCAAGGGCATCCGGCCTTTTTGTCTCTGATGTGACACAATATGCCACGCGTCCATTTTTCATTGGCTGTGTCCACTGCCTTCTTGTGCCTTCTGACACCAATTGTGTAAGACGAGATCATGATGGCTAACCTAGGCTAGACTAGGTTTGTGACCTGTACATCAATAGCCTCTGCAGGAGTAAAGAACGCCATCCTGGACGGGTACATTTCGATACCGAGAGAGAGTGATACATGTAGGGACTAATGTACCATATCCGACCCGAGGGATACGTGTCGGTACGTAACATACAGGGTGTCATTGATCCCCATGAACAGTACCTCGGGGAAACAAAGACTTGTAATCCGACGGGTGCGTGTCGTAATTATAGTAAAAGAATTTACTGATGCTGAGGACACGTATCTTCATATATATATATATATATNGTTTTTAAGTCAAAAAACGTCAGTTGGTTTGACGTCTTTAACTTAAAAACATTAGATCAACTGACATTTTTAAGCTTATTATAAGATCCAGTATACTGCTTAAACATGTTAGTTGGACTGACGTCTGCAGAAGAAACATCAGTTCAAATGTTGCGTTTGCTTTAAAATCTAACCGCCTCATACCAAGTTCACAAAGTCCATTTAACTTAAAAGGACTCCTGTCTCCATACCTAAATAAAAAAATTATATTAATATTTATAACAAATTTTGTCATCACGTCAATGAATATTGCCTCCACGTATGCCTATTTTATTAACTAAAAGGACATTAGTCGAAAATGTTTGGATAAAAAAATAAAAAAATCTTGAATAAAAATCTATTGCTTGAATAAAAAAATAAATTAGTCCAAAATGCTTGAATACAAAAATTAAAAAATCTAATGCTTGAATAAAAAAATAAATTAATATTTATTTGGGTAATTATCATAAGTGACTCCTATCATTTTATCTCGGATTTTAATGTAGTCCCTAAAATTTTAATTTTTTTAATTTAATCTATCAATTATCAATTAAATCATTGATAGTTGAGAGACTAAAATAGGATAAGTGAAAGTTCATGGATTAACTTGAAATTAGAGATAAAATTCATGACTAATTATGAAATTTATCTTATTTTTTTTATAAAATATTGCAAAAGCATCAAATAAATATAATCTTTAATCAATTTCTAATTAATTTTAATTTCTAAAAATGTTTTGCTCCCTCTCTTTTTGAGAGAATGATTTTTTTTTATGTATTTAAAAATTTAATTACATTCAATAAATAAATTTTGATAATTTAAATATACTTATATTTTTTAGCATATGAAACTTAAAAAATTGAAAACGTATACATATAATTAATTTTTTTTATTATATAATTATAAATGCATACATAAAATAAAAATAAAATCTTATTTGTAATGTTGATCATGTCGACATTAATATTTATTAAGCTGTAAAAAAACATAAGTTATTCAGAACATGTACATGTTAAAAAAGGATGTCAACAACGTGCTTGGTATTCAAAACAACATAAAGGATTATCGAGTACACATAAACATGATGGGATAAAAGTGTCAGACGCATCATCGTTTCAATCAGAGAAATTAAAAAGCTCAGGATATATATACTACCATTGACATTAATCAGAAAACTCATTTATGTTTCTCTGATTGGGATGATGATGCGTCTGACACTTTTATCCCATCATATTTATGTGTACTCGATAATCCTTTATATTGTTTTGAATACTAATCACGTTGTTGACATTCTTTTTTAACATGTACACGTTCTGAATAACTTATATTTTTTCACAGCTTAATAAACATTAATGTCGACATGATCAACATTACAAATAAAAATTTATTTTTATTTTATGTATGCATTTATAGTTATATAATAAAAAAAATTAATTATATGTATACGTTTTCAATTTTTTAAGTTTCATATGCTAAAAAATATAAGTATATTTAAATTATCAAAATTTATTTATTGAATGTAATTAAATTTTTAAATACATAAAAAAAAATCATTCTCTCAAAAAGAGAGGGAGCAAAACATTTTTAGAAATTAAAATTAATTAGAAATTGATTAAAGATTATATTTATTTGATGCTTTTGCAATATTTTATAAAAAAAATACGGTAAATTTCATAGTTAGTCATGGATTTTATCTCTAATTTCAAGTTAATCCATGAACTTTCACTTGTCTTATTTTAGTCTCTCTACTATCAATGATTTAATTGAAATAAAATTGATAATTGATGGATTAAATTAAAAAATTTAAAATTTTAGGGACTACATTAAAATCCGAGAGAAAATGATATGAGTCACTTATGATAATTACCCAAATAAATATTAATTTATTTTTTTATTCAAGCATTAGATTTTTTAATTTTTGTATTCAAGCATTAGATTTTTATTCAAGATTTTTTTATTTTTTTATCCAAGCATTTTCGACTAATGTCCTTTTAGTTAATAAAATAGGCATATGTGGAGGCAACATTCATTGACTTGATGACAAAATTTGTGATAAAATATTAATATAATTTTTTTATTTAGGCATGGTGGCAACAGTCCTTTTAAATTATATGAACTTTGTGGACTTGGTATGAGACAGTCAAATTTTAAAACAAATGCATCTTTTGGACTGACGCTTCTAAAGACGTCAGTCCAACTGACGTGTTTAAGCAATATACTGAATCTTATAATAAGTTTAAAAACGTCAATTGGTTTAACGTTTTTAAGTTAAAGACGTCAAACTAATTGACGTCTTTTAACTTAAAAACGTCAAATCAACTGACATTTTTAAAATAGCCTGAATTTAAAAAATATTTTGAAACTCATCCTTATTTGAGATTTTTCTTTTTAGAAGACCATGGATGGGTCAAAAGCTCTATATACGTGTGTTCAATCTCTGGGTTTTCATGGTTACGTTGTTTCTCTGGCTCTGGCTTTATTTCTTCTAGTTATTACCATTATGGCTTCTTCAGCGCAAAAATCAAGTTGCTATCGGATCACACTGCTGGAATCGTTATTGCCTTTTATGTGAGTAATAACTCTTACAATCCCTTGTTATCTATTCATATAACACTGTGTAGGCTTGTATATTTTTACTTAATTATATAAAATTTGCAAGGTTATGTGTCAAATTCAAAAAAATCTAGGAACCCATGCTTAAGTTGATGTATATATTTAAGATGAGAGGTATTAGGGTTGAACAAAAAATGTCAATTTTTTTTTTTTTTTTGGCTCAAACAGGTTTCCAAAGCAGGCTTTTTAAAGTTCGAAAAATAAAATACAATAAACATAGCTTAATACATGAGACTGTCATCGTTGCATAGTGAAGGGACACTACCAAAAACAATTATCGCAGTAATGTAAAAACTCAAGAAAAATAGTTTCTTTTCCTATTTACAAATTGGGTTGTGATAAGTTTCATGAGTGATGAATTATTTTTGGATGTTTTGGTTATGTAGGCATCAAATGTTGACATATTTGAGAAGAACCACGATGAGTTGGACATTGAGTTCTTAGGGAACGTGAAAGGGAAGCCATGGTGGTTCCAGACGAACATGTATGGAAATGGAAGCACAGCCATGTATGGAAATGGAAGCACAGCCATGTATGGAAATGGAAGCACAGCCCGTGGAAGAGAAGAGAGATACGGATTGTGGTTCGACCCGAGCAAGGAGTTTCATCGGTACAGCATTCTTTGGACTCCCAAGAACATCATGTAAGCAGCATATTAATTTATGAAACGATCATCTAACTTAATTTGGTTGCATGACCATTTCGAGTTTTCTAAAATAATTTAGACAGGGTCAACTCGAGTCGAGATACATCAAGGTCTAAATCGATAACTCTATATGATTTTTTTTGTATTTCTATATTAAACTTCGTGTTTGTCACTGGTATGAGTATATAGTGCCCTCGTGGAGTTAATGAAGATGCATGCAACACTTCTTATCAAGAGGCAACATTTATACATAGAAAGTTTACTATTAACCAATGTTATTTTTTAATTTTTCAAATAGAAAGTCGAGAGTAAATTATTGTCGAAAGAAATGACTGATCTATTCTACTTCTCTTTTGGACTTCTCCCATACGATTGACAAAGATTGTTGCCCTAACATTCCAAATTTGACGCATTGTCATCAAAATCATACTAGATGTGGTATGCCAACAGTGAATCATTTCCCCTCCACTATGGTAGCTGTTGCACTGTTGGCGTGTAAACATAGCATGCGTGGCCTCTTCTTTTGATCATATGCCAGCTTGAGCTCACTAGGCCTTGAGTTATTCATACCCAACATCATGGTTTAAAAAATTTATCTTTTGGCTTTTGTTTGGTTAAAGTGTCAAACATCATTAGTAAAATTGAGTCGACCTTAAAAAATTTAATCATTTACTCGTGATTCACAAGGGTTTGAAGTTCATACGACGAAGTGTACGAACCCTGGCCGTTCAATTTTAGTGTATGGTTGTAGACTTGTAATGTATCAAAATTTTCCACTTTGACATCATCTTACAAATTTAAGAAAAATTTTATTTGAATCAAATTTCAAGACTTAATTTGAAAATTAGAGACCTAATTTTTTACAATTGTTAAATAAAAAAACAGCCTTATCTAATATTGAAACTCATAACTAATCTATAGTTATAATATATTAGATTTTCAAGTTAAATTCGAATAGCATTGATATAAAGGTTATGGTTATTTCTTCAAAGTGGCCTTCTATTCCTTAGGTGAATTGTGCAGATTTTATGTGGATGACATTCCCATAAGGGAGGTGGTGCGCAACCAAGCAATGGGTGGCGATTACCCGTCAAAACCAATGTCCTTATACGCCACCATATGGGACGCTTCCACTTGGGCCACCAATGGCTGCAAAGACAAAGTAGACTACCAATTCGAACCCTTCTCTTCGGAGTTCAAAGCCCTTGTCTTCGAAGGCTGTCCGATGGACCCCATCGAGCAAGTCCCCTCCAACAACTGCACTGGCCGGACTGCCAAACTGGAGGGGGCAGAGTACGCCGACATCACGGCGGAGCAACGTAAGTCCATGCGGTGGTTCCGGGAAAAGTACATGTATTATTCTCATTGTTATGATAACATAAGGTACCCGGTACAACCACTGCCGGAGTGTGTGACAGTCCTGTCGGAGAGAGAGTTGTTCAAGGACTCCGGGAGTCTGAAGGAGGCTCAGAGAATGAAGTTTAGAGGTAGCCACCGGAAGCACCGCCGTAGCCGGAGCTCATGGAGGAAGACCGTCGGTGGTAAAGTTGGTTCAGGTTCTGGCCAATAACTGATAATTTGAAATCTTGAGGTGAGACTGCTTTGTGATGTAAAAACTCAAATTTAAAGGAGCGAACAGAGGAACAGAGGACTGGTTTTTTGAATTAGATCGCCGTTGTGGTATTGCTGTCTATGTCATTGTAGTACGTCTGTCGTGAACGGCATAAATAGCATTATGACTTCACATTATTCTCATCTTTCTGTTAGAAATCTAAGTTTTTTACATAAATGTAGAGCCAAAAATAAATTCGTTGATCGGGTGGTAGCCGCTCAATTATCCAATTCTCTTTCATTGGATTGGATCGGCTCCTCTCTCATCCGAGCTTAAGTCTTCTCCTTTGAATGACTGTAATCAAAATTTTCTTACATAATAAATTTTAAACGGTGTTTCGATTGCTCAAAAAAAACTTATCATCGATAGTCTGTTCAAGGTTCTTCATCTTCTTTTTAACGGAACATATAATTAAACCCCACCATAGAATATTATCATTAGATCTAAAAAAGAGGGTAAAATATGGTAATTTAATATTTGAATCTTCTTAATTTAAGTAATGATTTGAATCGTCTTTTATTTGGTATGAGTTTAATTAAAAATTAAAAATTGTTTTCAGCTAGTTTTTTTTTATTTTAAATTTAAGTAAGAGTATTTTTAAGAGAATATGTAAAACTCTAAAATTGCTAAAATTTAGTTAACCAAAAATAAAAATCATACTCCAACAAAATATGTTTAGATGCTCAAAAATAGTTTTTTGCTACAGTAATACTCTATATATAGAGTATCACTGTAACAACTTGTATAAATATTTTATAATTTTTTCTATCTTATCTGTCCTTTCCCAACTCTCTTGTTCACTCTCTGTCTTTCCCTCCACTCTCTCTACCCCTCTAATAGTCCCAACAAAGGTACAAAAATATATAAAATAATATTTGAAAAAATTAGTTAAAATATAAAAAATTTGTTAGAGTGTATATTAAAAAAATGAATAACTAAAATAAAAAGCATATTTTTGGATAGTTAAAATACAAAATCTTGTTGAATATGATCTAAGAGTTTGGATAAGGTTGGAGATGTTTTGAAAGTAAAAACACACATCTCAATTCAAACGATTATTTTTCTAAGATAGAGGTATAGATTTTAATGAGTTGAAAAAAAAAAAACTCGTTTCACTTTTTTTTACTTCCATTTTTTGTTTCTAACTGAATAGAATATTTTATTCTTTCCTTCTATTTTTCAACCTTCCACTTTTTAATAATACCAAGTGGACCATAAGGGTCTGCAATGGACCAAGCCTACCCAGCGTGTCAGTCAACGTTCTAGGATTGGTGTAGGCTGTTGGGTTCGTTCATGGGCGGGCTAGGATTAGCCCACTGAAAAACCTACATCCCACAACCTATCTGTTGGGTTAATTCTATTGGGCCTTTATTTGGTTGGCCCTATTAGTGATTTTCTTCAAAATTTGACCTTTTTTATTTTTCTGGCCAATGGACCAGGCTACCTTATCAGACCTAGATGTGGTTGACTATTGGGCCTACCTAATAAAAAATAAGAGTTCTCTGAAAGTCAGTACACTTTATTAGACTTATTTAACAAAAAATACATAGAACAAAATGTGAATTAAAAAGACATAAATATTTATTTTAGGATCATTTAATTCAAAATTTTTTATTTTTAATGCATCTTGATTCATGTGTGTTTGTTAATACATATAAATACGTATTTAATACACCTTGATTTATGTGTATTTGTTAATACATGTATATATATATATATATACGTGTATACTTATTTATATATACGTATATACAAATATAATATATATATATATATTTTTTGTTAAATTTTTTATTTAAATTTTAAATTATTTTTAATGCACCTTAATTCATGCGTATTTTTTTTTTTTGAAAAGTAATTTTGTTTTCAAATTATATTTAATGCACTTTGATTCAAGCGTTTTTTTTTTTTGGAAAATAGTTTATTTTCAAATTAATTTAATATCTGAATAATATAATAATATAACAATAACAGTGTAATAATAACAGTATAACAAATACAGTGTAACAAAAATAGTGTTCAGTAGTTTTGTGTATATGGTAAAAAATTCAAAATGGAGATGAATTGTTTTGAATAAAATCATATGAAACTATATGTTTGACAAAATGTAATAATACAATATTTTGTGTAAATAGCTTGTTACACTATTATACTTTATTGTTACATTGTTACACTATTTGGATATTAAATTAATTTTAAAATAAAACCACTTTCTAAAAAAAAAATGCATGAGTCAAAGTGCATTAAAAGATAAATCAAAATTTAGATAAGAGATTTAACAACAAGTATATACATACATACATAAATATTTATATATATGTATTAAAGTTCTCCCATAAAACTAGGAGATATTTAATATACTACTTTCCAAAAAAAAGTGTTTTATTAAATACACATGGATTAATGAAGGGCAAAAATGTCACAATAAAAATAGATAAATTCAAATTATGTACTTTGATATAAATAAGTATCAAAATTAAATACTTAATAACCCTATATTTTTTATCAAATAAATCTAATTTTGTGTGTCCCTTATAATTTACCCAAAAAGCAATGGCCCATAGCCCTGCTTATTCTATAATGCTGGTCAATAGTGGAAATTCAAGCGGGGCATTTGGCCACCACTAGGAGGGGACCTCGGTCCTGATCATATGGTAAGCATACGCAATATGAAAAGAAAGAAAGTTTTTTTTTTTGTTAAAAATACTTTTTTATTGACTTGAACACAATATAAAAATGTTACGATACGATATAATTGAAAGTCATTTAACAAGCATTAATGAATGAAATTTTTTTTGGATTATAAATGTAACATATTTAAATTTTGAGGGATGCAATTTATAATTAGTCCAAATTTTTTAATGGCAAAATGGACAACAGTTAGCCCCGAATGCACTTTGATACGAATTTATGTTTTTCAAAGTACAAGTTACGATTGGCCCAAAAAATAATGTAAATTTGAAACAAATCAGATAGTTTCTTTGAGAGGGAGAGAAAGTAAAAAAAAAAAAAGAGAAATACAATAAATTTTTTTTTATAGTTGGATATATTTTGCTGCTAAGAAAATTTAAAAGAGAGACTTCATTAATGAAAAATTAGGTTGTTCTCCGTGTTGTTGGGCTTCCCTTATTTTGTCTGCAAACCACGAAAAACAAGCCTACCTTATTTTCCATTTTTTGTTTTTCACATCCATTTTTTCCCAAAAATTGGAAAACAAAAACCCATACCAAACAAATATCACTTGTTTTTTAGAAATTTGAGATCTAAAACTGTTTTCAAAATTCAAACCAAACTGGCCCTAATTTTCCTGGTATTCAATTACACAAAAATGCAGAAAGACTATTTAGTCCCCACACCAACCCCCTCCCCAAAAAAAGAAAAAGAAAAAGAAAAAGATAAAATACTTCCATCAGTATTTGTCATGATCATTACAGATATAGAACAGGTCAATTGCCCAGAGGACCAATTCCTTGGTTTGTTCAACGACCCAACCAAATGTAGCTGCTGTCACATGTGTGATTAAAATTAAGAACAACATTAAAAGTCAAATTATGAAAATTATAGCGTAAAATGCAATATCTATAATATAAAACATGATAAATTTCAATAAATTCATCCTACAGTCTCAAATAGACTCATCCAATAGTCACCAATATTTCTTTCAAAATAATTCACATTTCATCGTAGTTTCAGGCACGAGTTACCCCTAATTTTTTTATACAATAGAATGATGTAAGTAAGAAAATGATGGATAGACATAATATTTCTTTGGCGTTTCTTACTAAGATTTGATTTGTATTATTAGAATGACTTTGCTAAGTTGATGATTAGAAAAATTATTAAGAAATTTCAAATTGATTTGTTAAAATATTATGCAAAAAAGTCAAGCTTAGTTTCAAGACTGAGTCATTGTGATGTGAGGTTTATTAATTTTCTTTATTAATGAGGCCTCTTGCAAGACTATGTTGTTATAATACCTTTTCTTATGTAATGATTCGGGCCCTAGAGCGATAGTAAATGCTTACCTATTCAAGTAAGATTTTGCTTGTTTAAGTCTAAGAATGAGATTGAAATGTAATTACTAATACAAATGATACTTCATGGTTATGAACTTTAAAAGTAAGCCTTTTCAAAATGAAAATAAAATTGTCTACTATTTACTTTTCAGATAATCCATTTACTATTTAGATAATTCACTATAAACGAACGTCTTGTGAAAATGAACTTAGAACCAACGACATTAAATCTTTCGCATTAAATTGATTAATCATTAAAAGTGTTATTTTATTATATTAAATGATTGATTAATTATATATTATTTGTGATTAAATATGTTACATTCTTTGATTTTCTTGTTTGATATTTTTTTTCTAATTTTTTGATTTATTTTGTAGGTAATTTGATTGATTTAAAGTTATAATGGATAAGACAAGTAAAACAAATAATAAAGAAAGAATCATAATTAATAAGGATTGAAGCGTTAAGATTAAAAAATGAAAATTTAAAGATAAGACATCAATTTAATTCTTATAGGTTCAAATTAGTACAAAAATCATTTAGAGTTGGATTAGCAAAATATTTTAGAAGATAAATTATTGAAATGTCTTCATTATTTTAGTCATAACTTTTTACCCCAATATCCGATTGATCTGATTTTTGCGACATTAGAAAAAAGACTTCAAAAGATATAAAAGTGTATTGATGAAAATTTTGTGAATCTATCTCTAACTACACAAAAATTAAGCTCAAAGTCTACGAAGATATGGTATTTGCGCCTCAAGATTTGATGCAAGAAATTTAACCTTAAAACTTCTTTTTGAAAAATAATTTCTCTCAAGACAACTCTATATCTCCTACCTATACCTAAGTTTTATTTTAGTATAAATAAAAGTTCTCACCTGTTGAAAGAGCATTTTTTTTCTCAACATTTTCTTTTCTAGTTTTTGGTGTATTTGTCT